TTTTGATGGTTGCTGTTGAAGAGACCGGGCAGGTTGTTTATCCTGAAACGTTTCCTTAACTCTGGATTTTGCAGACTGTGCACCAGTGGGATAATTTATTCCTTTGTCCCTATATTTTTTTTGCAAATTGGCAGTTATCTCTAAAGGCTTGATGTTATTTTGCTTTTATTTTTGTTTGGGGTTTTGTGGGGGTTTTGTTTGTTTTTGCAAGGCTTTCATAGGCTGTGTCATCGCCCCAATGTATTAATCTAGTTGGGGTTACAAAATGGTGATATTTTCTGACTCCTTCTGTGTCTATTCACTGGAATACTTCTGTGAAGAGAAATGCAGCCTCATCAACTATTTGATTACCCCAAGACAGGACAGGAGGGATAATGCTTTATTCCTTCTCTTTATTAACCAGTTTTCAACATAATAATCTGGTTCCCTAACACTCTACTAAAGTGACCAGAGGGATTTTTGTCTTTGTTTCTGAGCTGACAGGCAGGACTCGATTGTCCAGTCAGAGGCAGGAGTCAGCATCAAGCTTTGCTGGGACCTTGTCGACCTAAGAACATCCAAACCTGTAGAAAATTTTTATTAAGAGTTTATCTGAGCCGAACAGAGGACACGCCTGGAAACCAGATGGAGAAAAGTGCTTGGGAGAATGACAGTCTCAGTGGCTTTTATGCATTCGGAAGGAAGGAGGGGACATAGGGAAGATGACGTGAAGGAGGGAGAGAGCCAGGCAGGGGATGCGTCACAGGAGAGTCAACGCGATGCTGTGCTCTCCCGAGGGCGGTTACAGCTGCTGAGGAGTCTGCAAAGAGGCATTTCCCAGGCGTGTTAACCCAGATGCGCAGAAACAATGGACGGGGCTGGCTGGAGGCAAAGATCAACCTTTTGCTAAAGAAGTTACAGGCCTGGGGCGTGACCACCCACCACGACCTGCCCAGTTAGGAAAGTGGTTCAGATCACCCTGTGAGGTGACTTTGGTTGATTAATGACAACGCCCCTTTTTGTCCACAAATGTTAAGGCATCAAGAGTCTCGGATGAAGTAGGGAGACACCTGACACCTGGAGCCTTGCCCTCCAGGTCCCTCTTTCCCACATCGGTAATTCAGAATGATCAATGAGCATCCCTAAGTGGAGTTCACAGCGTTCCTCATACAGGGAGTATAATTAAATTATGACATTTAAATTATGAAACGTTCCGATTTATACTCCAGAGAGTTGTGACACTTCTCTGGGACAATCTCCAGGGACTCGTGCCTAGTGGGCTCTGGGTTTATTTACCATAAGAAATCCTTTAGCTGGGGACTCCCCCTTGGGCTTTCCGTAGACACCGTCTCTTCCTCCCAGCAGTTAGTTTTCGTCTATTTACTTGAAGGTTCAACTGACAAGGAGAGAAGTCCTGGTCACCTGCCTGCCTTTCGGTTCCCCAAGGACATTCTTTCAGCAGAGGGAGTGAATAGATCATGGGCCAGGCGCCTTATAGCTGTCCTCCCAGCTGCCCGCCTTGCTTACTGGTATGACTGGGTAGTCCAGGCTCACTTATACATCTCCTGCCCCAGACTTGGAAGCAGCCATTTCTCCAATGATTCCTGATTCTTTTTAGCGATAAACAGTATTAAAAGTTCGTAATTTGGGGGCTGGAGGAAAATAATTCCTTGATGAACAGCTTTTACATATTCTTTGCACACTTCCTTAGAATGATTTCCCTAGAAGTGAATTGATCTGTCAAAGAGTCCACAATTTAACCTTTGATTCACGGATCAGCAGTGGCATGTATCGATTTATGTCCCATCTTGAGGGGATAACGGTTCTTGGAAATACCTGTTTTCCCAGCATCCTCTCCATGTTATTTTTAGTCTTTCCAAATAACAGACCAAAAATGATCATAGTGGGGTTGATTTGGGGAAGTATTTGTTGAATGCTAGTAAAGGTGACATGTTTTCTCATCTTTGTCTACTCTTTCCGTTTCTCTTGTGAATGCACTGGTCAGATCCTTTAGTTTCCTTCAGTATCTGAGAAATGTCGATCATTTGTCTGGAATATATGTTGGAAATATTTTCACAAGCTGTTATCTTTTGCCTGTTTATTGTGTTTTGATTTACCTTAATTTCTTTCATGTTACTAGCATGTGAGTTTATAAACATGAGCATGAATTTTAACTGGGGTCAAAAACAGAAAATTTTCCATCTTAATCGTTTTTAAGTGTCTAGCACATTGTCGTCACGTGGAAATTGTGACACATACAGCAGACCGTTTTCACTGTGCAAAACCGAAGCGCTGTACCCACGGAACAGCGACCCCTTTGCCCTGGCAACCGCATCTCTGCTTTGTTTCTAAGATGTTTTGTTTACTTTTCAACTTTCAGTTAATCAGAGCTCTCAGACTTTTTCTGTATGATTTAGCTTCCGTGATTATAAAACAAAAGCGTGATGTCATAGATAATTGGAAAGTCAATACCCATTTCCCACCACTCAGGTAAAGAAACAGAGCATTGCTGGGGGCACCCGAGTGGCCCTCCCTGCACCCTTCCCGATGACAACCCCCTCAGAGGTCGCCGGCATCCTCGCCTTTCCGGCCTCCGTTCCGTCGCTAAGTTCATCGCCGACATCTGCCTCTCTAAAACGAGTCCATTTAGTTTAGTCCGGTTTTGCACTTGGTATAAGTGTCATACTGTTCATGTTCTGTTGCACCTTGCTTCCGTGACTCAGTATCATTTATAACACTGGTCCACGCTAGCACATGCGACTGAAGTTTGTTTTCATTGCAGTATACTATCCCATCGTGTGACCGTACCACGATATGTTCATGCATTTAATGATCGACGGACGTGTGGATTCGGGAGACAGCTGTGAACATTTTTGTACGTTTCCTTACACTCATGTACACACATCTCCACTTTCCTCAGGTGTATGCACAGGAGTGCAATGGCAGGATCATAAAGTGTGTCTTCGACCTTAGTTTAGGATGCCAGACTGTTTTCCAGAGCGATGGCGCCCATCTGAACTCCCAGCAGCGGGAGCTGAGAGATGCCGCCGCTCATGCCCTCGCTCCCCTCCGCGTTGTCATAGTTATTGTTGCCGTTGGGGGCGGAGGGGTCATGTAGGCCTGTGGTATTATTTGTCACTTCTTTGGTCACAAATGAGGGTCAGCACTTTTTCACACGTTTACTGGCCATTTGGATTTCTTCCTTTGTACTGTGGCTTTTCCATCTTTTGCCCATTTTTTATTGGGTTCTTTGTCTGTTTCTCTTTGGTTAGTGAGAGTTCTTATACATTCTGGATTGAGGCTTTTTGCTGGCTTCACATGTTACAAATATCTTCTACTTTCTGGTTTATCTTCCCTTCTCTTTATAGTACCTTTTGATGAATGTACATTCTTAATTTCGACATAGCCAAATTATTCTAGCGCTTTTCAGTGCTGGTGTAAGATGACCTAAGCGACCTTTAAAAACTCTTAATTTGTCTCCTTAACTGAAAGAACCAATATATACATGTGTTTATTGTGAACTTGAATTACTTTACAGCTGAGAGCTTGACAGATCTTCTCTTCAAAGAGAATACCAGTGACAATAACCTCCACAAATGCTATGCGCTTGAAGAACACGTTCATCGTTTTCAGTTTAGGTCTCCCGTGCAACCCAGAATCTTTAAGCCATTGTGATTCTGTTTGGCTCTCCTTCCAAAAGAGATCCTGTGGCATATACGATTGTCATATTTTCTATAACTCCCACTGTGTAGCATCCTGTAGCACCTTATGGTGCTGTTATGTACCCATGTGTGGTCCATATGGGTGAAGGTCCCATCTTCCCAACTGGGCTGGAAGCTCCCTGAGCTCAGAGGATCTGAAAATGTATCTGTGTGTCACCCGTGGTGCTTTGCATTCAGGAAGCATCTAGAAAAGTGATGATCGTGTTCAGGGCCCGTGAATATTTAGCTCTTCAAAGAAAAAAACAAGGTATAAAAGACATGAGATGCTTGGACTTTCTTTTAAGGATTAAATTGATTGTTGTTGTGCTAATGTGTAATTCATGTTTGCTGACGATTCAAACCATAATTCAACCAACGAGTATCATTACCTTCCCTTTCTAGATCTTACTGTGGAACTGTTGTCCGCCTTCGACATCCTTGCCTGTTCTACCAGATGGCTCCTGGTAGAAATATCGATGGGAGCCGGGGTGGGGTGGGGCACAGATAATTCAGAACATAGATAATCTACTTTGTCTTCTTGTGTATCTTAAAATCTAATATATATTTGTGCTCGTTTGCTTCTCAGATGGAAATGAGTCCTCTGGAAAATGCAATTGAAGTGTTGGAAAATAAGAATCAGCAGCTGAAGAGCCTGGCTGGTCAGTGTCAGACCAGACAGATGCAGAATATTAACCCCCTGACCATGTGCCTGAACGGGGTCATAGATGCTGCGGTGAACGGTGGAGTGTCCAGGTATCAAGAGGTGAGGACCGGGTGTTGTCGTTTAAAAGTTTTCAGAGGTGCGGGCCCTCTGAAACCCTAAGAAATCGCATCAGCGTGCTCACGTGGGGCATAGGGGACACAGAGTTCTTTGTTAAATAGAGCAAACATGTAGTATTTATGATGTATACTCACTCCATTTCCCAGTGATATTTTGAGGGTGTGTGTGTTTTCTTAGATGAATAAAAGTAGTGAGGGTATTAGGACCATTTAACAAATATCTACCTAAAATGATTTCCCTGAGCAAAGAGGTTCATGGGCACAGGAAAGTCTGATCTTGTTTAGAAGGTGCCTTAAGCGGACTTTGTATCTGCCCCAAGTTCTACACGGGAAGGCACAGCAGCTTGGGAAGGCCGTCATCGTGGGCAGACGGAAAGTTAAGGCAGTTCGTTCATTTCGAGATGTAATGCCACGAAGCTTATCCTCTCGGGTTTGCCGTTTGCTTGTTTGTTTCCCAGAGATACTGACTGTGCAGTCTCTGCTCGTCCTCGAACCCCGCTTCCCTTCTCTGCCCACTCTGCCCGGCCCCCGCCCTGGGAGTCACGGCCTCTGGTTGCAGTGGTACCATTTCTTTAAAAATGCCGGGTCTTTGCAGACACCAGCTGTGTCTTTCGTTCCCTCTGGAGCTCTCCCGAAGTAAACCGATGATTGCTTCCCTTCCTAGGCATTCTTTGTCAAAGAATATATCTTAAGCCACCCCGAAGACGGCGAGAAGATCGCACGGTTAAGGGAACTGATGCTGGAGCAGGTAAGCTGCAGGGGGGCGGCGCCCTCTGGTGCAGGTGCGTGGCGCCCCCTCCGGTGCAGGTGCGTGCGTGCCAGGTCGGCGCGTTGACCGAAGCTGGCAGCCGGACGCTCTAGACTCACCTGGATTTCTTCTTGGGAATTTCTGCTTTTTCTTCCCACTCTGATGCAAAAATAAATTTAACAGCGGATAGCTCTTTATAACAAACAACTTCATGGAATGTCATGAAACATTCTTTAAATGTTCTCTTCTTAAAGACTTGCTATAGGCTTACTACTGGTTTTTCACTCAAAATTTGAGGCTCAAATAAGTTCAGTTCAACTCAAAATAAGTGACTAGATGAATGAATTAATAAGATTCTTACATAAATGTTATAATAAGGAACTGGACAGATTTTTCTTTAAAGCCACATCATGTTTTGCAGACTAAGCCGATAGGTGACATGATGTGGACAAAACTAGATAAAACTTTATCATTTTCTACTCCAAAGAAGTGTAGGTTATTTTTATTTGATTCCCTCAAGTACAAAGAACTGGAGTGAGTCATCTGTGTGTCCGCGTTGACAGCTCCCGGCCTGAAAATGGCTTTGAGGTAGGCGACCTGATGATTGGAAGGCTGGGCTAAGAAATGAAGACATTTATACCCACAAAAAATGGAATACGTATAATACAATATGGCAAGAGCATCTCGTCCCACTTGATAATACCAAATTATTAACCAAGTAAAGGAGGTCCTTTTTGATGAGAAAACGAGGTTGGATCTGGTTTTAGTCTATTTTATGCTCTGTAGGCCTAGTCCACAGACCTTCATACGGGGGGCAGGCCTGGGGGGAGGGAAGTGGCTCTGACAAGGGCCTTGGCCGGAAGAGACTCAGTCTTCCAGCTTCTGGAAAAGGGAAAGGAGTTATTTGCAACTGGCCCGCGAGGAAGTCGAGGGTAAGGCGCGTTCTCCGTGTGCCGGGGGCGAGGTAGGTGCTGGGCCTCAGCGCTTTGGGTACCCCAGTTCTGAGCCTTATGGACAGGTCCGATTCCACCTTTGTTGATTTTGGGGAATCCGTACTTAACCTGGCAGTGTCCTGTGAGTAGCTTGCCTCACCCCAGGCGCCAACTGCTGTACCCAGCGTGACTGAATCTTTCCCCAGAATTAACATGAAAAGGGCCAGGAAGCTCTTAGGAAAACCAAAATCAGGGACCCTTCGTGTCCCTCACATCCTGGCTGGTAATATGTGTGGGGCCCGAGCCACGGCTCAGGAAACGTGAGGTCTCTATCCTGGGACTGGCAGTTCCACTGACTGCGTGCGACCTTGGGTGAGCCGCATCATCTCTGTGGGACTTGGGCTAGAGAGGGCACTGTCCCCTCGGGACCTCCGAGGTGGTTCCGAGAACCGTCCTGTAGACATGGAGTTGTGCTGTCCCCTGCGGTCCTTCCCGGGTGGCCCACATCCAGTGACTGAGGAGGAGATGTGAAGCCACCCGGGCCCAGCAGGCACCGGACTCACGGACTCTCAGGTCCGGAGCCCCTGGTGTCGGCAGAGGCAACAGGACCATCCTGCAGCTCGGCTACCTTTGTGAGTCCCGCGTCTGCCCCTCCGCCCTCGGACCGTGATCCCAGGGGTGTGCCCCAGTAAATATCCAGGGGGCCCAACCTGCAACTTTATCGGGACAAAAGGGACATCACCTAATAGTGTTTAAAACGGAGAAGACTGAGGGCTGCTGTGCTTAGGCCCCGTCCTCCACCCCTCACCCCTTTGTCACGGGGAACAGTCTCCCTTCAGGCCTCAGACACACACTCCCCTCGAGCTGTTCCCTTGACGGTGTCCCTGATGTTCATTGCAAGGCAGTTTTATCTCTACGCAGATGAGCTGGTGGTCAGTGGGCGTGGCCACGGTTCTGTCTCCTTAGGGCAGGTGCTGGACGCTCTGAGCCCCTAGAGCCAGTCCCGATCACCCGCGCTTCAGTATCGTCCTCATGGGATGTCATGCTAATGTGTGATCTGGTTCCGTCCAGCCTGCGGAGTTCAGTCCTTTGACCACACCCGCGTGGGGCACTTTTTAAAATGAAAAAGAGCTGCTCCACTCAAAGGAGTCAAGCGCAGCTGACAGTTGAACCAGGACACGTGAATGTTTCTTTCCTCTGAGTCCTCAGAGCAGGACCTCGTTTTAAAGTAGGAGTGATGCTTTGCCGCATTATAGTAAGTGAACGGGAATCATGTTTTTTAACAAAAACAAGACACATAGCAATTCATATTATAGAATTCTCGTTCATTTTTTACTTTCTCCTGACAGATTGTGAAAATCTGGGGGAGGGAGGGATGGGCACAGAAGAACCTGATGGAAGAGAGAACAGTACCGCGGAAAAGCGGGGGCCGCCCAGAAAAGAGACCTTAGGAACACCAGCCCTGACCCCCCTGGGGGGCGGGGGAGGGGGCCAGAGCACCAGACACATCACCGCTCAGAAGGGTTATTACTGCATCTATGGAATACCCGGAAAAGGAACTCGGGGTCGTAGGGAAATCAAGCCTGTGGAACTAGAGAGCCCCGAGTTCAAATCCCCGTTTACGTTTTACCGTGCGGAGGATTTCTCTGATCCTGAAAGCCCTCAGCTGTGAATTAAGGATTGTCTCCATCGCATCAGATTGAGAGGATTCTCCAAGTGCGTGGGGACAGTGCCTGGCCCCTGGCAGCCACTTAGTGGCCTTACACACTGATTTGGATTTTTTTCTTTTCATTATCATCAAGGCACAGATTTTGGAATTTGGTTTGGCCGTGCATGAGAAGTTTGTACCTCAAGATATGAGACCCCTTCACAAAAAGTTGGTCGACCAGTTCTTTGTGATGAAGTCAAGCTTGGGGATACAGGTGCGTCCACAGTGTCCCCGGCGGGGACACACAGGCCCCTGTCATTTGCTGTCTGTTAGATGATGAAGTGTTCAACAGTGACATCTTTTGGTTTTTCTACCAAACTGCACCGTTTTCCCAGAGAGCCCTCAAATACTAAAATTGCATTACCTTCTTTTTGCCACGCTCAGCTTTTAAGAAAACAAAAAAGCAAAAGCACAGTCGTACCGACACTCGCTCTGAGCGGACGTCGCGACAGAGCGCGCGTCGACGGTGCGATCTGGTCCATGAGATCGCTCTTCTAAAGTCTTTTCTTCATCACGTCTGTAGGACTTCTCCGCGTACATGCAAGCCAGCCCGGTCCATTTTTCTAACGGAAGCCCTCGTGTGTGCAGGAACTCGGCACCTCCTTCCGTGAGCCCAGATGGTGCCCGGGCAATTCCTAGGCGCAGGTAAGTCGTAATCTTAATGATCGTACACGTCGGCATCCCCACAAGCTGATCTGGAACGGTCCCTCGTCCTTTATGGCACAGTTTTGTCAAATCCGCTGTTTCTTAATGAAATAGTTACCCCGCGAGGCAGCTGCAGACATCTGCCACTGCTGCAGCATGACGAATAAATAAACTCAAACATTCGATTATATCGAGGCAAACAGGAGACAACCAAACGGGATGGATAATTTTTCCCCTTTGGTTTTATACCAAGCCAGCGTGTGATAAAGTGCAACTCCGAGACCAAGTTAACGAGCGTTTTTCCCACCCCCCAAAACAGCCCGTTAAGTTACCCAGCTGTCAACCGCTACTCGTCCTCGTCGCTGTCCTCGCAGGCCTCTGCCGAAGTAAGCAATATCACAGGGCAGTCAGAAAGCTCTGACGAAGTCTTTAACATGCAGGTACTCACTGGCTTTTTGTCGGGTCGTGTTTACGCCTTTTCTGTGTCAGTCGTGAGTGTCCGTTCGCTGACGGGCAGACCCTATGAGCAGGAACGTGACTTGAGGACAAACCTTGAAACGCTGATCAGCCCCTAACGGTGATTCAGAACGGCCCCGTCCAGTCTCAGAAGGCGTGAGCGGGAGACGGAAGAGGCCGGCGGGCCATGCGGGGTTAGGGGACACGTGCTGGTGCTTCAGGCGGGGATGCTGGGGCCCGCTCCTCCCCGCTGCCACGTAGCACTTCTAGGTGGCTTCTTTCCTTCAGGACACATGGCTTAGGGATCCGTTATGAAATCTCCCTACTTACGTGCAGGTCAGAAAATTTCTGCAATAAAAAGATTTTTATGGAGAAAGATAGATTTTAGGGATTTTAGAGTCAGTCTTGCAGCAGAAACTTTACGTAGACGTTGCTAATAGGGCAGTTATGCTAATTAGGTAGCACTGAGCTCAATTGTCCTCACCATGACCTTTGACAAAGGCCCCTGTCATTTGCTGTCTGTTCATGCTTTAAACGTGTTGCAAATACATGCTTTAACCACGTTTTTGGGGAAAATGAGAAGCACGTCTCTGCCTGTTGGCAGCACCCCCTGCTCGCCCAGCGCCCCAGGCTGGGAGCCCTGCCGCTTGTCCGTCGGGGGGCCTGCTGCCTGGCACTGAGTCACAGGAGGCGGCCGAAACGGGCACGGCCGTGTGGCTTTGGCAGGAGTCAAAATCACAGATTCTTGATTAATCCAGACAGGCCTTCTTATCAGTTTGAGTTTAGTGAGATTTTTCTATGTTTCTAAATGTTTTTTGGGGGGAGAGGGGAATAATTTAGAAAAAGAAAACGTCCGTGATTTTGTTTCAAATATGTCCGTGGTGAAGCCTCTAAACAGTGTGCGATAACAGCTCTGTGTGCTTCCAGCCAAGTCCATCTACCTCCAGCTTGAGCTCCACCCACTCTGCCTCGCCCAACGTGACAAGTTCTGCTCCGTCCAGTGCCAGAGGTCAGTGCCAGGGCGTGGTGTCGCGCCGAGGCGCCCAGGGAGCCTTCCGGCCCCAGCAGCGGTGGCTTCAGTGTCCTAGCATGCTGCCGGCCACCACCCTGCAGGCAGGTCCCACGCCACCACCTCCCCGGGGACGGTGACCTTTCCTTCTCTTCCCAGCTTCTCCTCTGTTGTCCGACAAACACAAACATTCCAGAGAAAACTCTTGCCTGTCCCCAAGAGAGAGACCGTGCAGTGCCATCTACCCCACGCCTGTGGAACCTTGTCAGGTAATTGTTTGCGGATGGAAATACTAGGGGAAAAAACCTGAGGAAAGGTCTGGAATTGCTTCTGAATGAAAACACAGCGCCCAGAGGGACGGGCCGTGTTGGCCCAGGCGGGCGAAGGGGCCGGTTCTTTCTGAGCCACGTCTGCGATGCACACACGCGGCTCAGGGAAGCCGAGGGAGGTGGGAAACGGTTGTTCCCTCTCTGCCACTCTGCTCCGATGCATCCGGGGAGCGGGGTTGAGCCCGCGGCTTTTCCCGCACTTCCCAGGAGCCAGCAAGTGTGGCCATCACTCCCTCCTGGACTCAGAGCCAAAGCGGCCCCTCCGAGTCTGAGCGAGGGCTCAGGGCACTTCAGGGGCTTCGAAGGGTGGCTTCGAAGGCGAAGATTCATGGGCACCCCTAGTTTTCCAGTTGTTGGGGCCTGGTTTAGGGGAGAACAGTGGCCGTTATGCTCTAGCTGACCGCTTTTCCGTGCCGGCCTGGCGGAAGCCCGTAGCTGCATCTGGCTCCGTCGGTTCATCTTTGCCGATCGTGCCATCGTCCCGAAGTCCCAGGGCGCCTCACCTGCGCTAACCCGCTTCGTTTCCCTCGTCACTTGGGGTAGCGGAGGGATCGCCCCGTTGGTTCCATCTGCCCCAGGAGGGCGTGTCACCAGCATGGCGGCCTCCGACGGCCTTCTGTGACAAGCCGCCTGGGTTTTCTGCTTTTGGTAAAACTCGAAGCGTGTGTATGTTGCCAAACCTTCAAAAATACACATTGCCATGGTGCATCTACTTTTAAGGACTTACACCTTTTCATATATTAGTTAGAACCACGTAAAATTGGCTTTTTTTGTGACTTAAAAGTTGTAGAATATTGACCATTTCATGTATTAACCTAATCTAGGATTTAAAATGTGAAGCCCGTTCGCTTTGGGCAGCTAATGGTCCTTTAATTCTCCGCATTTCATTCTGCCGGTCTAGCGCTCGTATGTGTGAAGAGCACCATTGCTTACCTGCTACTGTTTTTCCCCTACATTTTATTATGAAAACTCATTAACCATTTTCATTTAACATCTAAGATGAGCTTTTTAAACACAGTGTTTTCTTCCTCCAAA